TGGTGGTCTCTATTCAGCGGTCCGATGGCGCTTCCTATTCGCCAGGGCTCTCTATGGCCTGGGAGAGAAAAGAACAGCAAGAAATTTGGAAGGCATCTAGCTACAATCAAGTACAACCTACTCTTAGCCCCCTTGTTTCTCAGCCACATATATAAGCATAAAGATGCCGAAGACTACTCTGAAAACTCGGTTTCAGCTACGGGTATTAAGGTTAGGTTTGACAGCTTCATGCTTGACATCCACCAGCGCCGAGAAGAGTTCAACACTAGAGACCGTGGTCACAAGACGAACGGTAGAACAACTGGTATGAAGATTCACGCGGCTCAGCTTGATCTTGTATCCGCGGATGTTCGTGCTGTCTCTGCTAGTATCAAAGGCACAACTACCGAAGCAATCAAGAAAAATTCGATTTCGACCTTGATGGCACAGCAGGATGAAGATGGTGCAGACCTCTCCCATTTCACGATTCCTGATAATGATTTTAGCTGGATCGACATGGATGACTTTGTCGAACTCGACTCAATCCTACCCGCAGAAGCAAATCCGGATACCAAAATATTGCCACTTGCGTATGCTCCTCGTGTCACATACTTCAGGCAGACCGATATTGGAGGCACTATAGATGGAGACCCTGACCGTACGAGTCCTTTCGGACATGAGCCCACCCATGTCTGCATAATGAGCCAGGACGATGATCCTAGGAGGGTTCAATTTCAGCTAATCCAGTCTCGATTGGAGCAGCTGAAGGCTCAGATTGCCGCCAACACCCGCAACGTCGGCGACGCTGAATTACGTATGGTCCGTGATAACGGTAATGACCCGGAAATCAAAGCCGAATTCGAGATGCTCAGCAAGCATGATACCGTCTTGAAAGAGAAACTAATGTTCATGGAAGATATGCTGCAGCAGATGGCAATTAAAACATCGGCAGATCATCAGGATACTTCAGGAGACTCCGAGTCTACGAGCCACGAATCCAGAGAATGGATCGATACAGGAGATGGAAAAGTCAGAATACCGTCAGGGACCGACTTTGCGAGTGACTTCAAGAACAGGTTTGTTGTCCACAATGTTCAATTGAAGTGGAACAATCTGCTGCGGAATATCATTCTCCGATATAGCCACCAAGTTAGCCAACGACGTGGTTTCGTCTACTATCTATCTCGGCCTGCCGTCAAGTTCATCCTAGACATTGTAGAGGAGCAGGCCAGGGCTAAGCAAAACAGCAAATCCTCTAATACCCCTAATAATGACGCACGCCGTCCTTCGGCCACAAATAGCACCACACAGCCTAGTGAAACTGACCCAGATATCGAATACCGTATCAAACAAATCCTGAAGGATGGTAGAAGGTATGTTGACGCCGATGGATACTCTTCAACCGAAGGTCCTACCAGCATAAACATGGAGGATATCACCAGTGGTATAGCAGAAGAATTTGCTCCTCAAAACGCATACCATGTCCGCTTGATCGCGCCGCAAATACAGCTCCAAAGTGAAAAGAATAAGAAGCACGTTGTTCTAATCACCGGAAAAGGAATGGAACTCAAGGTGGTCGAAGTTATGGAGAAGGCAAGATTGTCCGATCAGGTCAGCGGATTAGTACAGCGACGTTTCTTACTCAGGATGGACAGCGCACAGTTCTTTGTGACACATCAGAAATGGTTCTCGGGTCAACTGCTGTCGATGTATTCCGGCAACACATACGGAACACCTGCCGGTTCCTCCTGGCCGCCTTGGGTACCTATGGAAGTTATGTACGATTTCCAGTCGGATCCTTTTGGCTTTAAACGGGTTGTTCAAGAGACATCGGCCACGCTAAGATATGATAAATTCAACACTCTCCGGTTAAAATACAATGACGAAGTTAATACCGATGCCAATTCTCTGGCAACGGAGAGCACCGAAAGCAGGATGGATAGCCTCTGGGTAGATTTCCCTCAGGCTAGGGCTCTTTGCAATTCATCGCAATACTACGCGATGTACGTTATTGTGCTTGACCTTCTTCTATATAGCGAGCCTCTTGAGAAGACGAGGAATGAGAGGTTGGAGAAGATCATACTAGCCTCGGACTTCAGCGACCTTCGAGGAACACCGGAGATGGTCACTAGATTGCAGGAGCGTATTCGTCAACTGGAGGATATCAAGGCACACTTCCAAATCCATTCTAAATACTTAGACAGGAAGGGATGGCAGGATCGATTGCTTCTGGAACGCGATCTCGCAGCATGCGAAGATGAATTATTCTTCGTGATGAAGGCTATTACTACCTCACAACGGAAATACGACAATGCGTCGCAGAGTAATGCTCTACTGAGATGGACTATATCCGCCAAGGAAATCGTTTGGCATCTTATTCGCGACAACAACGAGCCTCTCGTCGAATTACAGCTAAGAGATGTCGAGTATGACCGAACCGACAACTCGGACGGATCTCATATCAATCTGATGCAAGTGGGCAAGGTGTTAGGTTTAAACCTTATGCCAGATGCGATCTATCCGGAAATGATTGCTCCTTACTTTGAGGATGAGAAGGCAGCCTTCGCCGGTTTAGAGGGCAAACAGATGGTCCGTGTCTACTGGCACATGCTAGAAGCTATAGCAGGCATACCAGTGATGGACCATTTCGAAGTAAATCTATTTCCCATGAGAATCCAGCTCGAGCATGAAGTCGGGAAGAAACTTTTTGAATATATATTCCCTGGGATGGATGAAGATAAGGCTGATGAGCAGTCTGACTCGCCGTTTATTCTGAGGTCAACCTTCCCTGGCGAGACGGAAGAAGATGACGTGCCCGACGAGACCATGTCCAACTCTAGTAGGCCCGCCACTTCTGACAAGGAGCCTTCGTTCTCAACGCGGCCTGGATCATTAGAGCTCCGCCTTCGGCCTACCTTGGCCTTGGATTCGCGCCAACCCGAAGACAGTTATCAGAAACCCAAGGCCATAAGCGTCCATTCGGGTGATGGTGGCAGTGTATTCCGGCTTTTTAGTTCCAAGACGGTCACTAAAAAGCCGTCATACGAATCTATTCAATCAGGTGCCGCTTCACAGAAGATGGGGATTGGCCGAGCCACAACGATTGCTGCAGTAAACAATAGCGAAACCAAGAAGAGTGGACGGTTCGGTCTCTCCCGGAAATCTGGCAATACAGACGATAAGCCTTCAGACGACTTGACAAAGATGATAGCACGTGCTTCAAACTACGTAACTTTTGCGTATATCAAGCTTCCGTCAGTTGTCCTTTGCCTCAGCTACAAAGGTAGAGGTGACCGAAACATCGAAGATGTGCACGACTTCGTCTTCCGACTGCCAACGATCGAATACCGTAACAAAACATGGTCCAATCTTGATCTAGCCCTGGCGTTCAAATCTCGCGTGATCAAGGCACTCATCTCTCATACGGGTGCTATCATCGGCAATAAGTTCAGCAAGCATCGGCCTAACACAGCACAGCAAAACAAGCTGCGTGAGCTAGCAACCAGCAGCGTTCTCCTTGCAACGCCAAGTATGTCCAATAGCGGCGACAATAGTGATGATTCGTCAAGCCTATATGGAACGAGCCCGGTTGATTACTCACGATCACCGCCGAGGAGCATAAGAAGCTCACATTCGAACATTCCGGGACCGCAGCGACCACCTAGTCGGAGTTCTAGTCTTGCCTCGTCCCGGTCATACAGTCATGGATTCAGTAATAGCACAGAAACCAGGAATACACCACCTGTTCCTTCATTCGTCAATATTGCACCTCCGACGCCCATAGACCGTACGTATAGTGGCCTAGGAATTGACATGCCTCGACCGAAAACCAGCGCGAGTGCGAGTGCCGCGGATTCCTTGAGCCCATTCCGGCCAACCACTAGCAGCGGTGTCACCAGCGGCTTCACCATGATTGAAGATAGAGGAAGACGGAAGTCGACCAGTCAGGGCTTCATCAAGGGGAAACTGAACGCGTTGACGAGCCGACTTAGGGATCGGGATAACAACGACGCTAAAAATAACCACGAAGACGAGCAACAGGATGACGATGCAGATAGATGGACGTGATAGATGAAATAGAGCAAGGCGCGGCGGTCTGACCACATTGGCCGGTATAAATCAACGAAGTAATCGATAATTGTCCCCAAAGTCAAAGAGGCGCACAGGCGTATATACCTATGTATAAAAACCCGAAGGCTCGCTAGATAGCCTGGGTAGATTATAAGAGTAACAGGATACCGCACAAACCCCACAAGTCGTTTTGGGTAGTCTCCGCCGTTGGCCACAGTCGTTTTTTGAAAATTTCTCTTCGGTTTTCGTCATGAGCATTTACACCCTTTTTTCATATACACATTCGGAGTTGGGGAGTTGAGGTCGGCCAGGAGGCCAGTAAACCCTCACACTGGAAATAGACAACAACAACAACGTTGGAACTCCCTAATAAGCGTTTAGATATATATATATATAGTTTGCCAGCGATATATATTTGGCTGGGGCAGGAAGAATAAGCATTGCATTGGAGAAGGAAAAAATCGGTGTATTAAGGGGTTCTTTTGATATTGATACTGGTAGTTGAATAAGATGAATACCTACCTAAAGTAATTGATATTAGAGTTAAATTCACTCGTTATGTAAATTCAAAAGCTCTTCAGGGGAGGGTATCTCATACTGACTTGGATGAACTGCTAGTTAAGTTAACCCCTTCCGGTAGGAAATATCCCAAGACATATCCAGACCTCATTGGGCGAACATGCCAACCCCCTTATTAAAGTACCAACCACACATATCTTCTCACGCTACTATCACCTAACGCATGATATATTCTTTCTTATACCTCCCAGCAATCCCTCTCCCCCTTCCCCCTTTTCACCCCTATCTTCACCCCCCTCCATCCATCCTCCCTCCCTCCCTCCCCCCTTTCCCACTCCCCCTTTCCCACTCCCCCCTACTATTATTATCTTCTCACTTCCACCACCACATCATCCACCACATTCCAACCCCTACCTAGGTACCTAGGTAAACTAACACTGCTTCGAAGCCGGCACCTTGGGATCCTTCCCTCGCCCCCGCAGATACGTCTCGCAGTCGTACCCGTAGCGCTGGTCGCCGCCGTGCGCGCGCGTGTACGCCTCGACCCAACAGAGCGGGCACACGAGGTACGCGGCGTTGCTGAAGCCGATCCAGGGCCGGGCTTCGTGCGCTGGCGTGTCGTCGTGGCATGGGCACGGGCAGCTGAGCATTGGCGGCATAGGCGCTGCTGGGGTTTTGTTGTCTTTGTTTTCTGCGGTGGTGGTGGTGGTGGGAGGTGGTTGGTTTTGCGGTGGTGGAGAGGATGGCGGCGGAGATGAAGAAGGAGGAGGGCTTTCGTCGGTTAGGAATAGAGTTGAGGAGTGTGTTGTTGACATTGCGTTTGTACGATGAAGGTTGCTGGACTTCAGGTCGTGGGATGGTGTGTAAATCGTTACCGTCTGTGCGAGGTCTTCGGTACGGTATATCGCGAGAGTCGAGTTACTTCTTTAACTGGCCAGCCGTCGTCGTCGTCGTCGTCGATGCTAGTTGAATATAATCACCCTAGGTACCTATATATCGAGTTTAACCAAAGCAAGATACAGAACCAGGCATAAAAAGCAACCAGCAGCGGCAAATACATACATACACGCAACAAGAGCAAGCAAGCAAGCAACAACTCGCGTGTTCCATGCGTCAGTCATCGTAGGAACCCTCCTTCCCTGAGTCCGCAAAAGGCACAGGCACGACGGTCGGTACCTACCTACCTAAGGTAGCTAGGGTAGACAGACCAAGGGCGCTGTGGAACAACACAGACAGCGCCGGCCTTCGAAAGTAAAACTGATAGGCTCGAGCCACGAGCAACAAGTGTCACCGCAGGACAGGATAAGGGGGGAACGCCGATGGGACCGGGGGAAAAAAGGTAATTCTGTCTTTGTGCCATCGTGAGGCAACAATGGGGTGAGGGGGGCAGGAGGAAGGGAGAGAGGGTGCTCTCTCTCTCTAGGATGGATGGCTACACGTTGTGGCCGACGGGGAAACTAAACCTGACCTAACCTGACTGACCTACGTCGTGGTTGTGAATCACGGAGTAGTCCCGACGAGACGGCATGGGGTAACGATGTAACCTACCTCGTGTATAATATAACTATGTACGTCATACGTATACTAATAGTCAAGTAGGTAGGTGGTAGGTGTGTATTCCAGCATAGGCATGTAGACTCGTGATAGGAAGGCGGTTCGTGGTTTCTCTACACTCTATCCGATACTCGCACTACCTAACATAGTTACAGGTTGCAGGTTACAGGATCTTCTTGCCTTGTCCATCCTAACTAAAACTTACCCTATAGAGTTTACTTATTAAATATATAATATATAATCGACAATACCCCTGAGTAAATAGTGCAGTCAGTCCCCAGAGATAAAAGGGGGGGGGGATGCATGCATTAGGTTGGGTAAATGAGAAAGTTACTACCCCTAATTTTTGACAGCTCCGAGTCCTCATATTCATCAAGGTATAGTACCGTGTCAATTCCCATTATATCTAGCTGTTTTGAGTCGACGATGGGGCGGATGGATGATACATACGATAATCGGGAATTATAGCGGCAAGACACATCCGAGTCGTATGGCTGCAGGTCTTGGTATGCGGTTTATAATAAACCCTGTAGCAAGACGAAATCATTCCAAGGAACTGCTTCGTTCGCTCCATGACGAACTGATGCCGATAACCATTCGCTTACCTACCTAAGGTACATAGGATCGCCATAATCATGTTCAGCATCTCGTCACATGTAACAAATGGCAAATAGGAATAACCTAAATCAGATGGCCGTCAGAATGGTGGTCCGTATCTCATAGTTATCATAGCTTATTAGCTGCTAATAATACATAGCCAGGTCATAAGCCAGATCGTAAATAGGCCCCTCTTAGTATTCGAAATCGTCATCCACAGACGGCCCCTTGCTCTTTGTCACACTCTCCTGTTTTCTATATAGCTCTGCTACTTGACGACTACTTGTCGCCTCGTCTGGTTTCTTATCGTCTCTCAACTTGATGAATCTAGGGAACCGCAAACTAATTCCCTTCTCGCCCAACGGGTCGACGTTCTCCTTCAGCCCGGCCTTATACCTCGGGCTCAGTGTTAAATCCGCTGTCCGCACTTCCCAGACATACCGCGGTTCGAACCAGACGTCTGGTTGATGCTGTCCGCCCGATGAGTGGGAGTAGAATGGCTTTGGGCGATCGATTACAATTTCTGAGAGTTGCTTATGAACATCTTCAAGAACTTGCTCAGAAAAGCCCGTGCCGATATTGCAGATCGTTTCGTACGTTTCAGTGGCTGCGTTATAGCAGCCCAGAAGGAAAGCACCATAAACAGATGTACGTTTGCCCTTGCCATAGTAGGCGCCGAGGACTACTAGATCGAGAGAGTCGCCTAGTCCTGTGAGATAATCTTTCTTGATCTACTCCGTTATTAGTAACAATTGATAAATAGGTATAGTTAAGTATAGTTAAGTTCTTACCTTGAGCCAATTTCGACTTCGTTTGCTGGGCTCGTACCCGCTCTCTGAACCGTCAAGCATCTTGACCATCAAGCCTTCGCATGACGACTTGACACTCTCCTCTAAGAACGTCTGGATTTCGTCTAGTTCCCTACCATCCATGTGTGTCGCAAAAGCAAACTCGCCCTCCACTGGTTGGAAAGCATCGTGAAGCAACTCGCGACGTTCTCGGAGCGACTTTTCGACTATTGCTTCTCCGTTCAAGAATAGCAAGTCGAAAGCAAAGACGCAGACCTTTACTTTTACATCCTCCAGCTTGACATCCTTCTTCTTCCTCGTCATTAACTGCTGGAAAGGAAGCAGCTTTTTCTCCGTCACATCCCAAGCGACCGTTTCGCAATCTAATACGAAACTCTTTGTGCCTTCTTTGACCCAAGTATGAAGCTTTCCAAGGATATCGGGGTATTTCTTGGAAAGGTCCTCCGAGTTTCGCGAGAAAATGGACGCGACACCCTTGGCAGCTTCCTTGGTAGCACCGGGAAGAGCGTCGATATACTCTTCCGAGTGGTCCTTAGCAACATAATGAATTTGTGCCCTCTCGCCGTCATACTTATACTCGCAGGTAAAAGTCTGATTTTCGAACCGATCCAGAACTTCCGTGATCGCTTTTGTAGGCTTCGCAAGCATGGGCTTAAGAGGGACTCCCGGGCGAAGCTTACAAGTCTCTTTCAGCCTCATGATGCCATTCTTGATCATGGTTGGGATGATCACATCCCAGCTAGGAAGCTCACTATTTCATGTTAGAATAGCCAGTTAACGTTCAGCAATATTACTAACCTATACACCGTTTTCAACGTGGCCTCTGCTTCTTCTATCTCCTTGGCGCTAGGTACTCTGCCTTTTTGGCTCGCTTCGTGACAGATCATAGCTTGTGCTATGGCAACAATGACTGTCTTCTCTGCTAAACCTAACCTGAGCTTCCCTTCGAGAAACCGGATCAAGTACTTGGCCTCGCTGGGACCACCCTTATCCTTGTAAATATCAACCTTGCCTGTCGAGTGAGCATCGGCAGACGACAGTAACTTTTTGATTCCATCAACTTTCCTGCCTTGGGCGCCATTCCCAACCAAGGTAGTAGCAATGTCCATCAGACCTTTATGCACACCCCTGATAGTTAGTGGCTTAGGCTTGAACATGGTTGGCTGAGTTGATCTGCTCTTGACTGCAACAAGACCCAGGTCGCCGATCTCCTTCTGGTCGGCTTTTATGACCTGTAAACTGCGCCCTGTCGTTTCACCTATGGCCTTCATAATTAGTGATTCGCCAATACCAAGTTCAATGCCTGCATAATCAGGGGCTAATTTATTGATCATCAATAACACCGTCGGAAGGAAATCGTCCGGGGTTAAGCGTAAGACTTGTCGGAGGAATAAAGAACAATACTCCGTGATCTGAAGTCGTCCCGACGTAATCTCGATAAGTGAGAAAGTTGTACACAATGCAGCGTAAGGCACTGGCTCTCCTGGCTTCCAATCAGGATACGGGTCGTTCATTTTCTCGCTCTGAAGCTTGGTTTGAATTTCTTTTCGGGCCTTGGCTGCGACCTCCGGTTTCCCATCCGAATCCGAATCTGAATCCTTTTCTATTTCGGATGCAGACTCGGAAGCTTCGTCTTTGGCATCGTCATCCTTCTGCTTGGGTGCTGGCGACTCTTCTTTGACGGAGGCGGACTTGGCGGGGGATTTCTTAGGGGACTTCTTTGGAGATCGTTTGCTACCCTCGGGTGATTTTTTGGGCTTAGCTGGCTCAGCATCAACCATAGCCTCGTCTTCCTCGTCCTCATCGTGAATTTTTTTAGGGCGACCCCTTCGTCGTCTCTTTACTACAGGTGCTTCTTCTTCAAGCTCTTCCTCGGGCTCTTCAACTTCAACCTTAGCTTTCACAGAGGATCGTTTAGTCTTGCCTTCAGGGGAGGATGGAGACCGAGAACGCTTTTTAGTGTCTAGTTACATCGAGGTTAGTTACGGGCCGGAATAATAGACATGGTGAAGAGCAATTCGAACCTTTCGTGGAGTCGGCATCTTCTGTCGCATCGACGCTAGATTTCCTCCTTTTTGGTGAAGCTACCTCTTGGTCATTGGTAGAAGATTCAAGCTCCTCTTTTGCTTTCTTAACCGACTTTGTACTAAAAGAAAGCTTCGACTGCTGTGGTGCAGGCTTCGGGCCATTGGGTTGGCCGAAGAACTTTCTGTAGTGAATATTAGCAAGTGATGATCTCGCACGGCACGACAGACAAGGAAGACCCACCCTAAGGTGGCCTGTGAAGATTTCACATACCCCAAGGTAGCTTGCTTGGGAGCCATTTTGAGCAGTCTGGCAGCAGACGTACTCGTTGCTACCTTAAGTAGACAACGCAAGGCCAGATTGGAGAAAATGGTGTAAAGGGAAGAAATTAAAATTGTCTAAGTAAGATGCGACTTCCGACGTTTTTATCGTCGTATTGCAGATTTGGGGTACCGGCAGGCAGGAAGGCAGGCAGCGACCAACAATTTCTTGTGCATTCAGTGCATTGACCTCGACGCGACTTCTTTGGCTTAACCGCGTTAAATAGAATTGTAACGCGAGCTTGCAGGCATCATACAGTGCTATCCTGTATATTTACTGTATAGGTATACTATGAAGTACTCTATCGATAAGCATACCTCGGCTTATACTTATACTTACTTATACTTACCTATACTTTAGTTATACTTAACTATCCTTATCGGCTTCAACTTAGCGACCAGCAATACATAGGTACCTATATATGGGCAGTAACTAACAACAACAACAATGAAATCATGAAGGTTCATTATATAGCATTGCGCCGACTGCAAAGGTCTCAATGCATAAGTCATACAATCTCCAGGATTTACCCTTCCGTTTGGCGCCGTGGATATAGCAGTTCCAATGGCTCTTTACAGGGTAACTTTGAGACCATCAGGGCCGAGATGTTGGCTCGCCCGGCTCAGTTAAGCTGGGACGTTATGTCGCCAACAAACTCCTCCCTTCTCAACATAGCTCTGGCCGACTTCATACCCGAAAGCTGCCAGGCCCCGGCCTACCAGGCGGGCGCTAGGACTATCGAAAATATCGATGCCAAGTACGAGCTTCCGCAAGGTCACCATCTCGTCTACTTCCCGTTGCAGAAGACCGCCTCTGAGTTATGTCCCGACGGCACGGATCCCTTGCACAGTCCCGGCGGCCCGTTTGAGCGGCGCATGTGGGCCGGCGGCTCGATCGAGTTCAACGACGATTTTCGGTTGGACTCTTCGAAAGTCGTGTGTAAGGAGAAAGTAGATCAGGTCGCGGTGAAGGGGTCCGAGGGGCAGGAGAAGATCTTTGTCGATGTGCTACGCGAGTATATGAGGGAGGATGACTTCGGTAATCCGTCTACTACGTCTCGGGGGATAAGAGAGCGGAGAGGTCTCGTCTTCATGCGCGGGGTAAATAAAGAGCAAGCCCGTGAAAACCTAGCAAAGGCAGCCTTGGGAAGAGACAGAATTGTCAAGGGTATGTCAAATTTGAATAGATGCCTCCTTCTCATCCCTCGATAAATTCCGCTCATCTGTGAGTTCCGTGATCATGGCTGAAATTCTAGCAAAGCCCCCAATACCCCCGATTTCTCAATCGCGCTCACGCCAACACCCACACTCCTCTTCCACTACAGCGCATTGACATTCAACGCACACCTGATTCACTTGGATCCAGAGTTCTGTCGTGAGGTTGAGGGGCACCGTAATCTACTATTCCATGGCCCTCTCTCCCTTACCCTGATGCTCTCCGTGCTAAGGTCGCGGCTTGAGCCGGATGAGAAAGTCCATAAGATCGACTATCGAAACTTAGCCCCTCTTTATGTTAATGAACCTCTGCGTGTCTGTGTCAGGTACAGTGGAAACAAGGAAGAGTCGGCAGAAGGCAAGTCCCGAAAATGGGAGGTTTGGGTAGAGGGCCGAGACGGGGGTCTCAGTGTAAGAGGTACCGCTGTAAGTGAAAGAATAGGTAAGTAAATAGGAACAGGTTAATGAGAACATACCGGTTACATTAACTAAATGACCTAAATATACTATCCCCTAAACTGGCATAGGTCAAAGGTGATTCATTCATATATTACGCAGGAGTCATCACTTGAAACCACTGTGACAACGTAAAGAATGCCACAAAAACGCATCAAAAGTATGAGTATGTGGGCAGTATGTCTAGCAGCCGTACCACCTTGACTACCTCCTACGCAGAATATTCACTTTCAAAATATGATTGCTATGCTTATTAATTTATTATCACGTTCCATAACCTGGAGAGGTTATCTGATGTCTATTGATACATTTCCTCGAATTCGCAAGATGAAGAAGTCATGAGTATTCGTTCCATTTCATTTGCTCTCATACATTGATTAACCACCAAAGCTCAGCGCTGCTGCGCAAATGCTGCTCATGAAACCGCCACCGACGACATAAACCCTACGAAATAGAAGGGAGATTAGCTAAGAACCTCAATGCCGATTCTCCATTTCGCCGCATCAATGCATCGTCTGATTTCCTTGCCCATCCGCAAGACTAAAATCGCTCCATCATCGTCCATTTCATGGATATTTCCTTCAACTAATCCTCAAACCAGTCTAAAATTTTCGGTCACGACTTCAACGTGCCATACAATAAAAACTAAAGGTTCAGTGATACCACCTTAGTGGACATCACTAGTAATAAAAAAAATACGAGGTCCAAGTATATTGATAGCGACCATCCCAAATATTACCGAGTTGTGAAACTCGGTAACTGAACGGATTTGCGTCTGGTCAAAGACCAATTCAGAGATCCTCGAATGTTAACGCCGGCGGACTCGACCTCGTTATGTTGAGAATTGAATAATTGGTCGTTTATCGCAAAGGGGTATCAAGAAAAGACTAGCTTAAAAAGATGATATGGTGCCTCTAAGCGCTTTAGGTAATGGGTGCGAGGAAAGGACTAAGCATGAGTTCGTCTGCGCTCGGTCGCAAGTTGTGGTCTATCTCAAAGGTCTGACTTAAGAACTTGGTTGCTTCGGGACTGGCACTTTCAGGAATAGTCGGGGCGGCCTTGCCACCTCCAATCTTGAAGATGGCTTGCAACTGACTGCAGTCCGGGAAAGGATGTGCTCCGGTCATCATCTCGACAACTAAGCAGCCGAGAGACCAGATATCAGCTTTGCGTGTGTAAGAGGTTTGCTTAACCACTTCGGGGGCCATCCAGAACACCGAGCCTTGCAACGATGGCCTATTCTTGTTGTTGTTGGCGCCATTAAGAATATTGGATGCCTCAAGCTTCTTGCTAATTCCGAAATCGGAGATCTTGATCGTACCCTTGTTATCTACAAGGATGTTGGCGCCTTTAATATCACGATGAATGATGTCTCGGTTGTGTAAGTACGAGAGCCCGTTCAAGATCTGCCTCACGAAACTGCGAACAAGAGGCTCGGGGAGGGCACCATACGAGTTGAGCATCGTCTGGACGGAGCCACCAGGAACGTACTCGAGGAAAATATTCAGGTGCTCAGCCGAGGAGCTGCAGCCGAGATATTGCACAATATTCGCGTGTCGGAGATCTCGGAGCAGACTAATCTCTCACTTAAGAGCTTCGATCATACTCTTCTTTCGAGCATCCGTCTGGCTGTTCGCGCCGGGTGAAGGAGTCTCAACCTGCTTGACGGCAAGTAGCTCTCCAGTCACGGCATGCAAGGCCAAGTAAACGCTGCCGAACGATCCTTGACCAATCAAGGCACCTTTCATCCACTTGTTATCGTCCCACGACTCACCGGCTAAGAAGCTCTGTAGTTCCTCGTCGGCGTCTTCGCCATCCTCGCTCAGGGCCTGAGTAATATCCTTCAAGGACCCAGAGCCCTGGGTACTGGATTCGTCGAAGTAGCTCTGGCGGACATTCCCTTCCGGATCTGTGATGCTTATCGGATTGGTATCCGAACCGCTATCTGCAAACGAAACATAAGACTTGCGGTTCGGTTCGATAGGAGATTCCTCTTGAAGAGTGTCTAGCACTGACGAAGCGATCGAATCACGGAACGAATGTGGCATACGGCCTTGGTTCTCACGGGCCTTGACTTTGGCAAGCTGACCACTATTCAACCACGAATCTGCAATAGTCGGGATAGGGGGTGCATCTTGGATACTAGATGCAAAACTGAGGTTGCTAGCGACACTGAGTCGGCTGTTCACCTTGCTAAGGCGAGTAGACCTACGCATAGATAGTCGAGCGGTTCGGTCAATGTCTTCCTTAGGGTGATCAGGGAAGTACGAAGTGAGATCTGAAGTAATCAACTCGCTGGGAGGTCTTAAACTACCGAACGGTCTCATGACCTTTCGTCTCGGGACGGTCCTAGCGTCACTGGGTGGTCGTTCCAAATCCCTAGCGGTATTATTGAGATTCCTCTCGCGGTCCTGGAAGGAAATTGGCGATAACGGCTGCTGGAGTCCTTCGTTCCAGCTCTCACCTAATATCCTCTGTACCTTTTCTTGGCTCCTCTTATCTTGTATGTTTCCTAAACCCTGGTTGTGGTATTGTTGAGCTTCTTCCATGGCAATAGAGGCGGCTCGCTGCAACTCTTTCTCTCCTGGTTCTCCGGACGGCACTCTTCGGAGAATGAGGCGGTTTCTCTCGGGTCGCTTCTGATCCTTAATGATGCGCCACAGTTCGGTATCGCCGAGACGACGACATTGCTTAGGGTCGGGGTCAACACCGGCTAATATCCAGAAACAGTAATTGCGATCATGATCCTCTCGTAAGGCGAACTTTCGTAACGTTACCCGCATAACTTCTTCGCAGGTATTGCAGTCGGCAATTTTAACAACTTTCGTAACGCCACCGTTCCAGATGACACGGATGACGTCTTGACCCTGTGGTAAAGCAGCCATCAGCGAACCATCCTGACTTGAGGCATTCCGTGTGTGTGTAATTACCAGACGGCTCTGCATAGTCGGCGAACCAGGTCCTCGAGCGGTCGAATTTGGTGTCGTATTGCTCATATACTGCTGATTCTGATACCTCGGCGGCCTAATACCTCGGGCATCAGTGTTGGGTAGAGGCGAATTCGGTCGTGACGATGGAATCGCGACGTCGGCCATTGAGGTCATAGGTAAGGTTTGCATGTCAAGCCGCGAATACCTCTTGGTAGACGCCGTGGCAATACCACGGCCGCCGGAGTTGGGATGTCGCGGAGACCCTGTTGAAGAGGGAGCATATTGGGAATCCAGTCCCCCGAAAGAATCCTGAAGAAAAGGATTAGATAACAAGTTCAGGCAATTTCTGAAGCCAATCCAAAATATGCTCTTCACAGGCATAACACGCGCACTTGGTGCCAACTTACTCGGTTGCGCCTCTTCTGATTCGCGTACGCCTTTGTCCTGAGTTTCTTAATACCCAGAAATAGTCGAACTCGATCGCCAACTTTCTCGATGCCCATCTCTTTGAGGACCTCCTTATCCATTTCCAGCAAGTTCTCGCCGTTGATGTTGTTCTTCCTGAAGAGTTTTTCATACTCGCCACATTTGACACTCCTCAGATAATCACAGACTTGATCCTCAGTCCAGTTCTTAACCGCGTCGGGGCCGTCGAGATCAGAGAACTCGGACTCGGTCGGGCTAGCGAAGGCTTGACCGGCGGCATGGACGGCAGGTGGTCTTCTCGAGGGCGCCATACCAGATGATTGCGCGCTCGAAACCAGAGTGGAATTCGAGGAGGCCAGCGAAGCCGGAAAAGAGGATTTCGAAGCCAGCATAGCCATTGTGAATGATTGTCGACCAAGGCTATCAGGTACGCAGCATGTGAAGGAAGAATTGGAGACCTGCGTAAGAAAAGAGGACTTGATTAATTCTTTGTGTCCAACTCTTCTTTTTTCCTTTTCCTCTTCTTTCCTTTTGCGGGGTGGAACAAAGAGTCAACTTTGCACCAAGTAATGGCGAGAACCCCGAATGAATTAAGGAAAGAAGGAAAGTCGGCAAGCCGAGAAATGTATCGACGAGATGAGTGTGGAGCGTAGATTTCAAGAGGATTAGAAGTTGGGGGAATTAATTGCAGGAGTCGATTTACAGGTACCCGAGTTGATGTACATACACTTACCTCTTACAGTACATACATACCTACCTGCCTGTTAGCGGGCTAAGAGTTCGTTGGCGTTGGTGTAACTGCCAAGGGTGTCTTTCTTATGTAGATGCAGGCTGACTAGCCCCACCTCCTTAGAATAGCTAAATCGAGGCACAGGGGTGGATTCGCAGGAATACAGTGTAGAGTATGCCTACCAGGTTCTTATAGGCCCTATCTACTGTAGGTATACTAACCCGCGCTATGCTTAACTTCCCAGTTCGCGGGGGTTTCACTATGTCTGCCACTATGTACAATACGGAATACACTACCTAACTAACCTTAGCACAGATAGGTAAGCTTACAGTGTGCAGTGTTAGTTGCTTGGATGCGTTTAAAGGGATATGATTGGTCCGAATATAAAGAAAGAGGGCGGTAGCTGACGGCGATAGTTGAAACTCGACAAGGAACGCACGGCCGCTAGATCAGCAGAAAAATCCCGTCATCGACTCATCCACTAACAGCAACCCATCGTTCTATCGGACGAGATGGAAAGTAGAAGGAACGATTCGTTTCGATATAGTTAAAATGTCTAAACATTAGGAGGTAACTACCTAACATAAACATAACAGTGCGTACGATGCATACGATACGATGCATATAATAAAATAAGTTGGCTACTCGGCTGACAATCATTCGCTCTCCTTTTTTTACTATTTATCTTTTTTTTGTTACTACATATTACGCATCTGGGCATCTCCCCTACGATGGCCACCTACGATGCAAGATCAGAGATAAGGTCTCTTTATGATACCTAGTGTAATTCGCGTGTGCATGCTTTATGCTCTATTTTTACATACAACCTCCTTATAATAAGCCCGGGTATATACGACGTACCTATGTAATTCATGTAAGTGCAAGTCTACGTGGTGTGTACCTCACCTCACTACGGGCGGCTACTCGCCAACAATCACATCTCGCCCCCATTCAGAAGTCGGGGTGCGTACCCCTTTTGGGCACATCCGTATAGCTAATTTCGATACCCGTACACAAACCTCCGTGTCGGTGTCGCCATTATGCTAAACAGAAAGAATCTCGGATATCCTAAGCCTTATTGTCCTTAAGTCCTTATACTACATAGAGACCAGTGTTACAAGTGACTGGGTCTGTGACGTTACTACCTATGTATAGGGCTAATAACACGATAAGCCCAGCGCCAATCTTAATCACCAACCAACGACGATGACGACGGCAGCATAAACGTCGATTGGTCTGGTGGATTCCTTTTTTTTTTTTTTTTTTTACGCCACTTCGCGCCCACTATCATCACGTTCCTTCTTAAAACGTGCAGGGGAGGCGAGGCAGAAGGGCTAGGTTAGGTATTCAGGTATTGTAGGGGTTTGATAGGTAGGGTTTGATAGGGTTGATAGGGTTAAGATGGGCTGGATGGGGTTCATTGGTTCATTGACAGGGGCATAGGTCATGATCTCCAAACCTGAAACCCACCAAGTTTCGACCAGCCCGGATAAGAAAGCGTGCATCGGGCTTTGTACATTAGAAGCTCTTTGTATGTACGGATTACATACCTGAAGAAGCCTTTTGCCTTTGCCCAGTGGACCTTAGCCCACCTCGTACCGACAGTGTGGTTTACGTATGCAGGATTCATTGTTGACGTTGCTACCTATTTCCAACAACAAGTTTTGTTTTGTTTCTTTACACTTACGACTGAAGCTACGTATGCCCCGGTGGCTCAAGCGAATCCGTTGTTTCGTGATTTCTCGCAGCCATGGAAGAAACGTGTCTCCCACCGGTGCGATGCGATGCGACTCTCTTCCTCAAGAGACCACATAACTAGTAAGTAATAAAGTAATATGTGCTGAGCTGAAGTTATCATGTAGTCAGGGACCATTTAGGCGCTTATCCCCGTCCCTTGCCGGCATCTTTCGAGCGTAACCCATGGGCGCGTCCTGGTACACGATCCTTCGGTCACTGGTCACTGGTCACTGGTCACTACAATATCGCATAAGGACCGTCTTACTAATTACCTACCTATTTAGATGCCATGAATTAACAAGCATCATCATTCGCCAGCTTCAACCGACTGCTATACTGTTTCTCTACACTATCATGCAGTCAATTCGGTGTTGCTCTGATAGATCGACGTTAAACCTTTAGCCCATTGGACAACTCAAACCCCATACATGCTGCACCTATGTAGCCTGCTCAAGCAAGGGGGTCTGGCGGTCCAATTACATCCTACGTAGACATCCAGTGATCTGGAAGCTATGGAAGTTTGCTAGCGTAGATCCGGGACCGAGAAAACCAAGGTCGTATTAAAAAGACGCATCACATATGCTGTTGTCCGGTCATATTCGGTCCATTCTTTGCAAGTTGCGGCTACAAAGGCTATGGCTGCTCCCGCGTGGGTAGGACCAAGTAATAAAGCGGTTCATTTAAATTGCTTGGTACACAGCGACGGATCCCGAGATCCTCAAGGATGGAGCTGGCATCTCCGCGATAACTTGCTCAACCTCCAATTACGCTTAGAGAATTCGGTGATTACGCATGGTCGTAGGTTCGCAGGCTCTACACCATGAGCCCAAGATCAAACACCAACCGTCATGATACGCGCTCGACGTCAAGGCATACTCGCAGGCTCAGGTTCGCTGCGCCAAGCTTTGTCGATTTGGAATCATTCATTGTTCAACAGCATTGAAATCCTTCAAACGATCGAAGCTAGGGACCAGCTGCAAGCTTGTGGAGGAAGGACCTATTGTTTACTTCAAGAAATATACGATACCGAGACCGCTCCAGATCCAATATATCTACCAAACAATACGGCAATTCCCGTTTAGCAATTACATAATATATTAACTCTAGAGCCCATGATCTAATATATATCCATGGTATGTATTGATTTTAAGAGAATTAAACTCTGAAAACATGTTTGATGTTATAAACCTCTATGGTGTATAGCTGTAAGGGCTATGAAAACAAACAGTCAGTACAACACACCGAGTCCACAACTATACCTACATGTTTGTCCTATGTGAAAGATGAAAGATGTGCCTGTTTTCAACATGCACTGTTCCACGCAGATGGGGCTTTTTCGACACCCTCCGCATTGTGCCTAGCCAAGTTAAATTATAAGTGCAAGACGCATACATACAACCTCTTCGGCCGCAACCGTGTCGGTTATTAATAACCCTTTTTGTTAGAAGCCGAGTAACTAGGCCGCCTCTTCTACCACGTTTCATATCAGACAAGAAACACTATTATAATCTTGCATGATATTTTGCGGGGTTTAAGTGGTAAAGACTCTTCGGAGGTCTTCAAGATCACAGCCTCGGATAGGAAAATATATTTACTTTTTACCGTGCCTTTAAAGCTTTATCTCTAACCCTTATTCATTCAAACGCTATCCTTAATTACCTACTGGCTGTTTCATTAATTAAAGCGTAATTTTTCAAAGTCGCGATATGCGAGATGAGTACCGCTACCTAACCCAAGCTAATACAAGCACTGCCGGCAACATCATCTCAAGTCGTGCCTATACCTATATTCTCCGTCGCATCCAGTACCATCACCATCACATCATACATCATACACCATAGCCTCAACATTTCTCCTGATCGCCTCTCCCAGCGCCTAAACAGCCATAAGTACCTAAACTATCCCCGTTCTTATAACAATCGAGTTTCAGCACCTTGCGATTCTGCGGCATCTATGTAAGTAAAAATAATCAACGTGATACAACTTTTTACCCGTGGAGATGAGGCCCATTCCCACAACCCACAAACCCGGTTGCGCTGCTCGTAGATCTGAGAAGACCTCGTACTTCGGCATCTTGCAGGATGACAGGCATAGCCGCCGCAGTGCTTATCCTAAACACATCCGTTCGTTTTAGGGGTATCCTGGCTTAAGCGTTAGCTGCTTGATCTAATTACCGGAGAACTATCAGGTCGTCACCTTGGTATCTTCTTCATAGGCCATCACAACCTAGGTACCTATGTACCTGAGGTGGTTAAGCTAAAAAAGCGAGGGCCTTTTCAAGATTAAATTTATGGTTCATAACGTAGGGGGGTACTCATCCAACATCCTAGGTACGTCATCTGCTCCGGAACAATTCAGGAGGTAGCCTGGTGTTGAGCTGAAGCTTGAGGAGACGAGACAAGGCCGATGGGTTCATAAAGCTATATCAATGTAGAGATATACTGCCCTATGCTGTTGATAGGATGGGAAACCGGTGGTTGGTTTGGATGAGCTTGAGAAAGACTCGCAGGGCTACCTTATTCTTTACGTGACGTGTACCAAGAATGGCACAATATTTGAGAACTTTCGAAGTTACTAGAGATCAGGTCTAACTCGTTGAGTTAGGGTTATGTTATGGTTTTAAGCTGATTTTATTCTCTATTATGTTGGAAAGCCTAGTGTAGCGTTTCAGCAGCAGTGTCTGAGTAAAGAAACGGATTTGCTTAGGAACAGCTGTGTTAACGGGAGATAACGATGATGTCGTTTTACGTCTATTGGCGACTATATGCTATCTAAGTGGCCACAGTGGGTGCACATATATGTTACTGAGAGGTGCTCTTCAGTTAGTTATAATGAAACACTGTAAGAGGTATCCTTTGGTGATAAACACCACGGCGATTCCGATCTATGTCGCTCTATAAAGCGACACTATTACTTCCGAAACGACTAGGTTAGATAGTTCAATCGGTGAATATGTAGCAGCCTTAGTTTTATCTTCTCACATCAACCTAGGAGAACTGCCTACCTACCTAGGTACCTAGGTAGGTAGGTAACCAATCTATCGTTCCATTAACTTAGAGCATATATGTCTTTCTAGTACCCCTATAGGAGGTTTGGCGTTTGGTCGACCCTTATTCGCATGTTAGCTACGCAGGTAGGTAGATTGGCTATAATCAACAACACCAACCTCCTGGGTACTTGCGTCCCTTACCGTCTAATCTAATCAGCCCCTCGTTTTCTGAGGGTCCATGTCATGTAGGTACACACCTTGAATCTGGATTTCGATAAGGCTCAGGTGTTCCTATACGGCGAGTCCTTCACCCGCCGAGCAGTCTCATAGGTTTTAGCCCAAGCCCTAATCTTTCTAATAGGAAACCTCTCAAGCCCGGTCTATGAAACAGGTAATAAAACCCTATCTTTTCCCCCGGTCTAGGGGATTAATGATATTAATCTCTTCTAAAGCAGTCAGTTGAGCGGCTACCGGCATAATTAGTTACAAAGTCACCTCATGACCAGTGTTAACGGCAAAAATCTCAGGCTGTGCGTATTGTAAGGCCGTAGTCGATATATCTACCACTGTCACAGTTTCTACGTGAGTCACAAGGTTTCCTGACTCCACCAAGTAACCTCCTGAGTCAGGTCATTTCCGCAACATAAGATGTTTTCTTCACAGTATGCTGCGAGGATGTTCTAAGGAACCCTCAACTACACCAGCTTTTAGTTTCAGACTCGTGATAAGTATAAAGCCTAGTTGACGTCGCTCAAGGCAAACGTGCCTTGGTAATTTCACTTAGGTCGAGCTCGTAAGTTTTCTTCATACGGTACGTACTCATAAGACTCCTACCGTGTAAATAGTACTTGCAGGTAGTAACAAGATCAGACGTACTCAAGTACTTAAACCGCCTCCTCTGAGACCTAGAGGATAGTGAAAACCATCAAGTCATAAAGGCTTTAAGAGAAGTAAGAGTATTTATTCTCTAGATATATATTAGGAGGTTTCTGCTAAGTTGTACTGTTAGGCAATGTAAGTATCTAGAAAAGAGAGGAAAGTCATTGACCATTTACAGGTAGGCAACAATAGGGGCAACTGGGCATGATTAATCGTTGCCCGACTCTATGAAATTCAAGTGTATATATACTACGTCCCCTAATAGGGATATATCTGGATTCTAGGAACATCACATTTAAAATATATAGGGTATTCCGTAAACGAGTAGAAATAACTCATCAACTACATACACATATCTTACAAAGGCTATCCGGGTGTATGTTATGAGACAATGGGATTACCCCAAAGGGGGTAACCAATAGCTAGCAGGCCTACATAGGTATATAGGGGGAGTATCTCTTCTCCCCTATCCTTAATATGGGACATGGGTTAAAATAGCCTTCAATACTAGGAGCTAAGTCCCTGCCTCGAAAGAAGATGGGCCTCTATCTTGCCACGTAATATTTTCAGGGTCCGCAACGAAAAGAAAGGGGCGTCTCTTGTAGCTTCTCAAGTCTAAAGGGCGTAGTTCTTGACTTTTGCCCGGCTAGATAGGCGCTCTTTACAACTTTATACTTATAGGGAGCGTTCATTTTGAAAATGGCAAGTTACCTATGCATGTTCTCCACGAAACCCCCCAGGTGCTGAAAGCGAGATATATGAAGAGGTTTGATATATCAGTGGATACTTAGAATCTGGATGAAGTGTGAAATCTCTGAAGCACTGGCATGCCCAGGATAAAGAGTTCCGGTCGTATTAATTATCCGGTCTTAGCTAGGCATAGTTCCTCACCACTTTGACATGATTGGGATCTCGCTTCTTGCCCGTATCTTAGGTGCTCATAAAGTTGCCGTTCTTGATTAGAGATCAGCGAATGTGTTCGCCACTCTACGTCAGCAGGGCACTCCCCTATTTATATACGACTAATATTAGGGGCGTATGTTTTTCAAGAGCAATATGTTAGGTTAAAGCAACCATATCGTGGTTTATATACGAGATATCTCACTGGAAAAGCGTATATTCTAAGATTAAGGTATACTCTAGGTGATGACCTACATATAAAAGGTTGGGTGTTTGAAACCTCATCAATAACTACCTAATTAGGTAGTTAACCACTTCTACTTAACGGTATCGCTTCTGGGCACCCCTATACACGGAACACCGCAACATGTAATGTTAAAACTCGGGATCGGACGGCCCTCGCAGTAGGTATTACATCACCCGTCTTTAAGTGTACCTATACACATGTATCTCACACACATACACTAATCCAGGGTGGCCATGTCTAGTGCTCTTGTAAGAAGTAAGTGTCCCAGAGCAGACGACGCGAACATAGCGGCGGCGCGGCCACTACGGCCGATAAGCAAGCCTTCTAGTCTCGCGGGTATAACGAGTAGCGGGCGCGATTTATAAGCCGTCGACGCTATGTATCTACCCAACTACCTATCTCGTCCGAAGCCTCGTCCGAAGCCATACAGGGGTGTTGAGAAGGTTTGCGGGAATGCACTATAGAGGTACTTGTCTACGCCTCGGATTTAAAGCTTCGTACGAGTAATTAGCACACCTCGACGTCGCTTAAATAGAGATCTCCTTACATATATACGGTGCCTATGTAGGTAGTAAACGTACAGCTAGCGCAGATAACTCGGCCGAAAGCTTGGTTGTATATATAGGTACCTATGTGAATGGGTCAACGGACTGGCCATCTAGGTATGTATCATCTATCTTCAGCCCGGTTTCCGGTGTACGTGCTGCGAGATAGGCTTCGTCAGGCGACAGTGCACACATCATGGGGTATGCAGAAGCCAGAGTCACCTGTCGGCACTCTACGGCAGCTGGGGTTCGCATCCCTCACCGCACGGTCGGGTTCGCACCGAGCCAAGGTAGAGCTTGCATCGAAAACACTTTACAGATTTCCACATGCGGTACCTGCGTAAGCCAGGGAGGCAGGGAGGGTATGGTGTAACAGTGAATGCAAAGCACGATATGAAGAATACCTACCTTACCTAGGTACATATCCACGCGGCATCTAGGTTGATCGATCATATGATACAAAATATTTTCAGCTAGGAAGTTGAAATAAGTGAATATCTTCACCTATGTAAGTTAGGTACCTACCTACCTCTTACCTAGTAGCTATATTATCGTGCAATATAAAACCACGGCTACCCACGGAACCAGCAACGAAAAAGCGAGCCCAGCCCGTCGCGTCGTCACATGGTCTCGGCATCGCCCAAACGCGGGTATCCAAGAGCTGATATGACGTATCATGGGCACCAGTCGGCTTTTTCGGGCAGGAATATGAGCAGTCATATTTCCGCAGCACCACGCTAGACCCCAAAGATGGATCCATAGATATCATCCCAAGCATCGATGGCTTGGGTAGGATCTTCCCGTTTAGTCCTATTTAAGGCTGAGAGGCTTGGACTTTTTCGTATATGATTTTATTGTGGGCGCATTGGGTATAACTACACTTACATATTTGCGTCCGTCCGTCCGTACCCTGCCCGTAGTATACGTACCGTAGACGTAAACGTAGCTATAGTCCATGCCCGGTTTTGCGTAAGTGTGGATGCTGTGGGCTCGTATGTATGCGCTGCGCACGGAAGATACTACGCTGTGCCTGTCAGCTTTTCCGGGGTGCAGGTAGGGATAGGATCACGAGGCAGCCCGGACTGCCTGTTATATGTTAGTACATAGCAACCATCAAGCACTAGTGTATCCAGAAATTCAGGAACAATCTGTCGGATGAGTCAGATATTGGATATATGTCCGAGTTGGTACCTGCATTGAGAGTGTACAACAATATATAGTAACCGTCACTTTTGAGACAACTGATTGGATATTATGTAGTACGGTAGGGAACCGAGACGTCTATGGCGTCTGGGCTTCGTGTTTTCGTCTATGTAGTACATCTTCCCGTCTCACGAGAAGTGACCGTTTGTCCAATGTGACTAACCTGCTTGTAATCTCGACCCCATGACAGTCTGAAGAAGCTATTGAAGAGAACAGGAATATCGTTGTCTACCCGACACCCATCGTCCATTAGATCCTCCCGTCCAACCCATCGTAATATACATCATTGGTAGCTTTGAGTAAGCAACCAGTTACTTGCTCTGAGAAGCCTGTAGGCCGTACCCCCTCCCCTCCCCAAAACAAGGGTATAGACCAAACCCATCATTTCCTTTTTCCCACTGAGCGCCATGATGCTATGAAGAGAATGAATAGAAAGTACATAATAAATTTTTATACCGTCCTTCATCTTGGATCCTGTTGGTGACAACATGTAAACCTGTTCTATACCCATTCTAAATATTCGCCAAAAATCAGTACAAAGGAAAAGGGGCAATGCGTGAGATGTGTGAAATATAATATGCAGAATATGTAAAAGTGAATTCAGACGAATTTATGCTGGATCATATTGGCCATCCAGCTCATGTCGCTCACTAAATCGTCCAGTCCGGTATCAATACTCGGACGGCCTAGAAGGTCGGTACTGTCAAGGGCCACGCCGCTATCCAATCTAGCATCAAACCCTGTTCCAAGTGCCGTTGTGGATATACGACTCGTGTCTAGAGGCTTGCCACCGTGCGTTGTAGGTTGAGGTAGACTATAACTCGTGATTGGCGAGTCACTATATTTGCGAATGCTGCGCCCCGCGTTGCTGCTTCGGCGGGTTCCTTGGGCGGCGAATGATTCATTCTCCGTAGGAAAGATATCCTCCCTCTCGTCATCCGATTCGTCAAAGAAGGAAAATTGACTAAGATCGCGAGACTCGGTTGACTGTGGCGATGACGTAGAAGCGAAGCTTGACGACGTTGTCGAGAAGGAAAAGTGCGATCGTGGAATGTTGTCGAACTTTATGTTGGCTGTTGTAGATGGAACGCCAACAGGATCTGTAGTAACGCTGTTTTGTGCGGTCCGCGGGGGTATTATGGTGGCTGTGGACCCGTTATTATAATCCCTAGCTGAACTTGACGAAAGGCTCCGTTGGAACGGTGGAGGCGATAGCATCGTAAAAGGCGCGGTCTCAGACACTGCCGATGTCGCAAAATTGTCATCGTCTTCGTTCTCTTCGACAATTTCGTCTGGTATATACAATCGTGATGGCTCCGCAGCAGGAACAACCTGAGGTAGGTCGTCTGATAGAAATCTCTCGAGCGTCTCTAGAGATATGTCATGAGGTCGGGCGCTCCCAGATGGCGTGGTACTTCTAGGTTCATCGAAGTGTCTGACTTCTCCATCATAATGACTTTCAACTTCGGTTTCACTACCGGCGTCGCTGTCTAGGTGGTGTCCCTTCTTACGGGCGAAGAACCGCCGAGCGGCACCCTTCCAACTAGGCGCAGGCGAGAGAGAGCGGGCCGACCGCTTGTGGACAAGCGACATTGCTGGCGAGGATCCAAGCCGAAGGTCGGGAAGGCTGGGCACCGGGGGAGCTGGCCGCGGGGTCATAAACCTATCCTTTGGGTCCATCGTCTTGAAGTCAGTAGTCCGTAGAGAATTCATCGAAGCACTTCGAATTCTCGACAGAGAATGTTCCTGAGGAACATCGACGGTGTTGACAGTTTGGCCAGGAAGGTATGGACAGGCGTTGGTCGTGGGCATAGAAGGATCATATGTTTCCGTTGATCCATCCAGCTCATACTTAAGGTGCTATTAGCAAGGGATGGAATGTTTAGGACTCATAATTGTAGACTCACATAATAATAATATGTGTGACCCATCTTTAGCCCTCCGTTACGTTTATGATTCTTGACTTGGTCGCCGTCACATACGATATTGTTGAATGTATGGCAGCCTCGCCATTGGCTTCGGTCCCGTCGAATATCACGTTCCATATTATGGTATTTTGTAAAATTATCCCACGACCCAAGTAGCCGGACTGATGAGACAGAAGGATGAGTTTGACTACGATATGGTAAGCTTGCATGTCAGATCGAGTTGCACCATAGTTCTATATAGGGCGAGAAGTGAATAATAAGTAACAGAAGACATGTAAGCTGACCATTGCTGTTATCTGCCACTTGTACAGGCATCGGAACTAGCTTCTAGGCATCGAGTGACGGAGCAAGGGTGTGAAATGATCTCACTCGGGGTACCTTTGGGGACAAGGCAGGGCAATACAGGGAATGGGTGTAAGCGGGCTAATGTCACTAGACAGCATTTGCTTTTTGGGTGTGTCTGACAGGAACGGTGGCTGGCTGCCCTCTCTCAGGCTACGATGCGCGAAAATGGACCTCGTTCCCAGTTATCGGGCAAGCTCCATAACAGGGTACAACAGGGCTGACAGGGTGTGCAAATTCTTAACTACTGTCGTTAAGTAGGCAATATCTGACCTTCGCGTGGAACCCCTGCCCGGAGATATCGCACTGGGTTTGTCGATTTTTGTTTCTTTTTAGAATCCCAGCGGATCGGGATCTTCTAGAATAATAATGAATGTTATGAGGCTTTAGAGGCTTTATGCCGTGCCACCTCTAAATGCCGTATCTGCTTGAGGAATGATCGAATTCGGAAAATGCCGAGCGGATATAAATGTCTTAACAAGGCGAATATAATATAATAGGTAGCGTATGCGAATAATGGCAGGGTCGGATTCGAAAGTGAACGGAAGCACCAGGCTGAAGCATAGAGAAAAGAATTGAATATTGCAATAGAAAAACTCACAGCATAAAAGTAAAGAGCGTCGTAGTTGGATCCATGGTGGAAAATAAAAAATGGCGTCGCAGGCTTAAAAGAATGAAAATAATTGGAGATATATAGGGGATACGAAGTATATATTGGTTAATCCGCCTAACGATGTTAAATATGGATATTTACCGCCGGAAAGTTCTTAAGTTAGAACCATAAATTGATCAAAACGGCTGCCAACTTTGGTCGCAATGTTTCGACAGACGCAGGAACGTAGCAATTGTGCAATGCAACTGCTTCGTGCTTAGGCAAATTCTATGAATTAACCAATAGAATTCACGGTTGGGAAGCACGGAAGCGCCGTAAGTCGAATTGTTTAGCGGCCGGCGCTTAAAAAAAGTAGGCTGTCTTGACTCGTTTAAGGCCGCGTAAGAGACCCTCTCTCTCACACGGTTCTGAGAAAGGCCTAGTCTAGCAAATTGTAGCTATGTAAAAATCGTATGTAGAGCATAAATTGAAGGCGTCGTTCGTGAGATGTATGTATGAGGTATGTAGGTACATAGTACACCACCTTAGATAGACGAAATAAGGGGGCTTGGAGGGCTGAAACCCAGGTACCTATTGTAAGTAATCACGATGACTCGATGGCTTAGGAGGGGCGTATTCTAGACTTGAGAAAAGTGCTGAAGATTGCATTTAACGGACCATAGACCGGTCAGAAAGAATTTTGAATATGATGTTAATATCCCATTCCCATTCCCATATTCATTCAAGGTTCAATCCGAGTCGTGTTTGAGAGAGGATGGTCATAGTGGGATGAGAGGCTGAGCATTATTATTACTATCTTATGATTTATGCAGTTCATCATTGCGTCGGCGAATATTGGCTGGAAGGGAAGGATTATATGATAACAATGACGATGACTTGTTAAGGTTGATTCAAGTTTGCATGAGATGACTGGGCGATTGGTCCTCGAATGGAATAAGGGAATAGGTATTGAAGGACCAAGATAAAAGGAAATGACGACAGTCTGATGGGATGACGAAGAAGCAGATCTTGGCCGATTTTGGAATGTAGAAGGTTTGATTGAGACGAAAGAGGAAAGGGGGGACCCCTGAAACTTAACATCATTGGCTAGATTGATATAGTAGGTGCATTCTACCCGCATGCGAACAATGAATTGGATGTCTCTGTAAGAGTTACATACCTTAATAAGAGTAAAAACGAGCCCGAAACCGTACTACGGTAAAGAGCAAAGACCAACCTACAATCCCGTTTCGTTTCACCGCTCGTAGAATACATTATGTTGGGTAGTATAGAATTGTTTCAACCTACCTAGGTACTGTGTAAATTGTAAACAACTTTATTTAGGTTACTAGAGGGCCCAAACGCCTGGCGGTCCCTCTTCGCTGCGTTCAGAGGGCGTCAAAACCCTAGGACAGGTCAAAAAGCTGGGACAGATAGTATTTACTATGTAAAATGTATAGGCTGCACTAACATTTTCAACCATTTCTAATTCAATAAACACCCTAACTTAACGAATTTCATAGCTATAAAAGATCTTTTAATATTGAAAATTTTTTTGAAAAATAATAAAAATTTTAATATAAGTTGCATGTTAATAGCTGTAATATTGGCTAAGTTATGGCTATTATAGTATAGTATTTTTTAGAAAATGTGTGGGATGTTTGAACTTCTTGCATTTCCTCCTTAAAAAACAATTGAAAAAAGCTTACTTTTTTACTTTTATTTTTATTTAAAATTAAAAAAATTATTTTTATATAAAATGAAATATTTGAAATATAATTACTATTGGAAGTATATTTTTATCTATTTTATTCATTTAAATGTAAATTGTTGAAAGTTGGATTTTATATGGGAAATACGTATTTTGTTGCCAAGGCTGTCCCAGCTTTTTAACCTGTTCCAGGGTTTTGACGCCCTTTGAGCGCAGCGAAGAGGGACCGCCAGGCGCTTGGGCCCTCTAGTAGGTAGTTTCGGCATCTACAATACTAGTGTATCCCGAGTACTAGCGTGGAACACATTCTATTGTTCTAGTGTAAGGAGACTAAAGGACGCTATGTAGGACTCGGCTGGTGGCTTGCATAATGGGTGTCACAGGTAGGCATAGCTGCATTACATACCTCCATCTAATTTTCTCCAGGTCTCGCAATCCACTTAAATTTCAACCTATCGCAACTGGTTGACGATAGTTTTTCAACTACTTCCAGACCATGACATGTCTCAGAATGACATAACAATAGCGAATGAGGCTTGTTGCTTTCGTCTGCTTGAACATGTCAACATGTCAACCCCATATTGACTTTTAAATTTTTTTATCTTTATCCAATTGGTCTATTACGGAATACATCCTCATCAACATGATCCACCTACAAGAGCGATATCGTAGCAACAGCCTACAGCACCTCCAGGTCATATTACTTTTCTCGTCAGCATGGAATGCGACTTAGCCCGGAATAACCTGGTAACTATAGTAAAACAATAATTCTATTAGCATGAGAATTTAATCAATCAAACATCAAGCTTCGTTAGGGCTGTGTCGCATACCAAGAAAGAAAGAAGGAGAGAAAGCACTTCCATGAGCCTACTCGACATACCTTTCTTACCGGAAAAAAAAAACAGGCGACTTGCTAATTTAAACCAACTGCGACATTGAAGTTATCTGCACCGAAAACGCATACGCGTCACACTTTACGCGAAATGTCTACATCTTGGCGGCAAATGCAAGAATTATGCTGCAACGTATTAACAGGGAGCATAAAGGGCGCATAAAATGAATAATTACGGCGACTCCGTCTTTTGGTATAAGATGCTACGCTGTTCCTAGATGACAGCTGTGGCTTGCATTATGGCTTCTGCCAACAAGCTGAAATCGCGGAGTTTTATCCATGAAAAGCAAAAGTTCTGCAGGACTAGACAACAAGCATCAGGAGATCTCTGGCATTCTTCCCCAGGGCATACCCAGGTGCGGCCAGCTAGGCCGCTATATCTTACCAATGAAACATCACGATCCGCAATGGCGCATTTCAGCTCCGCGTATTGTACAAGGCTGGCCGGCGTGCATACATACACTTACACTTGGGATGAGCCACTTCGCTAAGTTAGCGTCCCAAGTTGCCGGGCCAGCGGCATGATGTGTACAATGTCAACTGGCGCATCCTTGTCAGCAAAGATTCTGACGCCAGCGTTATAGACTTCACGGGTATCACTATCGGCGATTACTCCCGTAGGTACTTTATCGATACTACATACCAGATCGCTCGTCACTAGGACGACGCTATTATCCGAACCATGTCTCATTTTCATCAATTCTATATTATTTCGCGACTCTTGGACCGCACGTTTGATCTACGAAGATATTTCAGCTTAGCAATAGGGCAATAGGGGGTGAAACCCGATGCCTTGGTAAAAAAGCAACTGGCTCCTCCATCATGATTCATCATTGCAGATGATTCTGTAACCTTATCCCCGTCTTCCCGCCCCGCGGAAAACAGACCAAAGTAATCTAAGTCCTCACCGCATCGTAATAGTCCCGGCCGCCCGGGACTAAACGTTAATATGTCTGCGAACATTACTTCTTTCGGATATAACTATAAGGCGGAGCATAACAGTATGGCTTTAGCCCAGGACCATTAGTCAAGAGGCGCGCTTTTTGTCAGGCATCATGCAGGCCCCATCCATCGTCACCAACTCCTCAAGGTCGGCTTTAACCGCAGCCTATAGTCTGACATATATCCCTTCTAGCTGAAAGATAGTCCTGGTTTCAACCCACTTTATGTATTGGGCTTCGCGAAGACTTACGAAGGATTACTTAGTTGTTGCTGAATCAGGGTCTTCCACACTCGGCCCAGACCCGTACCAAAGCAATAGTCACAGAACGACGTGTCCATGTATTGAGCAGAGATTACTTGGTCGGAATTTTTGACCTCCAGCTCTGCCCGAAGGATTCGTCTTTCCGTGCCGGTCCAGCAGCTGAATCATCCTGCTCCAACAAGAGATGCTACTTCAGTGGTTATACCGTTCATACATTTACGCAAGTACCCATCCATTAACTTACTCATGCCCTTCACTTCGTATTTCATCCGTCTAAAGCTTTACTTGTGTAGTATTGTAGGTTCTTCAAATAATATTTCATATGATGAGTTACTAATAATAACTCGCCAGCTGGCCCTTCGTGTGTGCCCCTTTCCCTAGATCTAGGCAGCCGTAGTCTTGTGGGTAGAAAAATCACTCGCTCTTAGTTCAGCGAAGACAAACCCCTCAAGGAGCAAGGTCGAGAGCTGCTAGGCTGTTATCTAGCATTTCTATTCCTACGTAATAAAGTTTTAGGATTTTCGTCGGCAAGCCCTAGACACGCGTAGTCAATATAACACCTGAAGCACCATGGGCGAAATGCGGTGGTTCAAATTTACAAATGCAGTCTTTAACTTTGAGTTTTACGTTTCTCCTATATTCTTTGTTACATGATATTACGGGCACCCGTCTTACTGAGATGAAATGCAATGACATTCCCACTGCCAAGCCCATTCCTGTTGTCTTGTGAAAGCCTCACCAAAGGCATTTAGCTAGTTGATTCAATTTAGAGATTCTTACTTTTCTCACAGCAAGACATAATATTCATTCTAGTGTATATAACTCGGATCCTAGAAGTATAATTCCCATCATAGCACAGTATATATGCAAGTATAACCCGCCGTGATTTCCCAGAGATAATATATACCTAGACAACTCCCCCTTCGATCCCGAGGGCATCCCAAGCTGTTGCCAACCTTACCTCTCAATAGACCCCTAAAATAGCAACAAGAAGTATCCCATTGCTACGTTGTCATGCACGATCAAATTTCTGGTAACTTCTTTACGATAATTATGTTCTACTATGAAACCACTTTTAAGGGAGGGGAACTAGGTTGCTTTTAGGTAGAGCGCTTTAAAGGGATTACGAGGTTCAATACCATACTCGGAAAGGTAACTCTAAAATATTATATAAGAGGTCACCCCCGGGCATCATAAGAACTGAAGGGTTCCACTGCATCATACTTTTTGTAATATAAAAAGATTCTTCCGGTAAGAAATGCATGTCGATTAGGCTCATGGAAGTGCTTTCTATGTGATACAACTTTAACGTTATTTGAATAAGCTTAAACCACAATATTCGAGATTTCATTTGTATGAAATCTCGAAATCTACGGTCTAAGTTTCCTAAGATAAAAAAAATTAACTATCGGCAAAATTGTTGTCTTTTAAGGCCACATTTTGCCAATATGGTAGGTACCTTATAAGGGCCCTCAAAATATGCAAAACCTGTTTATAGCTTATTTGTAATATGTAATTTCCTTATAACAAAATATTCTCTGCAAATGGTTGGAAAGACTTATATAGCATGACCTATCCACCTTGAGTCTTGTTTACTACTTCGGTTGAAACGCAGTACTTAGAGGGAACAGAGACGCAACCACCTACGCACCTACTATTCGCATCGTGGGGCCTAGGAGGAAAGGAGAAAGGGGGGAAATGAGGGACGTGGCTTGGAGCTTCCTCCTATTGGCTCGGCCTTGATCAAAGGCTACATGTATATTAAAGGCAAAGAAAATGCGTAACACATTTATTATATGTAGGTACCTAGGTTCCTAAATCCAGGTGCCTACCCGGTATTATAAGAACTTTAACTCAGTTTCCTAAGCATAGGTAGTCTTATTTACTTACACTCACAACTACCTACTTAACCCACCAGCGAGTAAAACTCCCAAGATATTTTAGGTGCACTGAATCATCAATTATTCGATAATTTTATATGCATCTTGAGAATTTATAAGCTTATTTTCTCATTTTAACCCGTGTTACCTACGCCAAAGTTTGAGACGGGTCGGGCAGGCAGCAAAAACAACAAGTAATTATTGTATATACTTTTTAATGAATCTATGATATACTGGCACCGCTGGTATACAAGCCTGAAGGCATAAGGATAGCTGAATAACTATGGAAGGAGACGATGGAAGAATTTGCATTCGTTGATGTAGCAAATATAATCGACAGCTTAGGCTCAAAATAATTACCTAATTACCTACACCATTCAAGGGCTTCCCACATTCTTATTATCACTCGAGACTTCATGCATTTCGTTGCTCGAGCTGGAGCGTGAATTCTTCACTACAACGAGCGCTGATGACATGAACCTTCTACGTTCTTCCATCAGTGTTGTAGTTAACACTTTTACTACAAGGTTATAGTAACTGAGGTAACTATGTACAAACTTATGGGAAGTACTTGAGGCAAGCATACTAGTCATTTATACGGGTAAACCAAAGACTAACTAATATTTAGATAAACAATGGGATTATAACCTTTTGAAATTTAATCCCTCGTGTGGTAATCATGAATAGCAACACTGTCTGAGAAATAGACATCGACGGCCTGTCATTTAACAGAAGCTTCCCGGACATATTGAATCTCTTATGCGGCCATTATCTGGCATCAAGATAAATGGGTAGTTAGATGATTGAACGAACTGAATATCCCATGTGAAGAGAGGCGTCGAAAGTAGCGGAACCACGTACAGAGCCAACATAATAGATAACTATTAGAATCAAGCAACAACGAATTATGAAATTTAATCACCTTTTGCCCCCTTCAATGCGGACTCTACCTAGCACGCCCCTTAATACAAAATATCTTCCAATCCTGCCCATGGCCCGAACTCTCCAACATACCGTGATCTAACAAGACAGCCGACAACACACCACCAACATAACACTCCAACACCCGAACGACATACACACGACATATTACAATCTAAGGGGTTAACATCCATTCCCCCAAGCCCCAAAAAAAAACCCTCACCCCTCAAACATTTTTCTTCTTCTTACCCCCCGGGCCCCGCGGCCCCCCCAACGCCCCGAACGCCCCGAGCACCGTAAACCAACGGACCACATTCAGCGCCAAACTCACACCCACCCCGCCCCACAACATATCGTTCCACTCGGCCGTATTCCAGAACAATTCCGCGCCGACGCCCCTATAGCACGCCCAAATATGCCCGTAATCCGCGAGCGCCACCACGACCAGATACCCGCGGGCGACGGAAGCGTGCGGCGTCCAGGAGCAGACTACGGCTAGGCCCGCTAGGAGCAGGTACACGTTGACGAGCTGCAGGAGCAGGACTAGCGCTTGAGGGGGGATAACAGGCTCAACAGGCTCAGGCTCGGAGACGGAGACGACGGGGAGGGGGAGGGGGAAGTTGGGAGCCTGCGCGGCGAAGAAGGCGGTTGGGTCGCGGAGGGCGACGATGTAGGCCCATATGCTGTGGGTTAAGGTATTAATTAATTGTTAATAAAGTCCAATCCAATCCCTCGTTTGTCTAATTAATTGACTTATTTATATGACGTGGATGGATATCATATATATATGCCAGCTTATTATTATAAAAACTACCTAGGCACGGCACTCACAGAAGAACAGGCTCGACGACGCCGAACACAACGAGCGGGAACGCGGGTAAGCAGCTTTTCGTCATGGTTTTGGTAATTTTACGATTCCGAACACAATTGATCTTAAGAGAGAACACCTTAAAAAAGAAGAAATAACGAACAGCTTTAGTTATGTAGGGTAACGATTCGAGTTATATACTATTGCTGTCCCTAGCTACAAGTGGCTGTGTTTGCTGTATGTATGAATGAACTAGGCGCATCGTAATTCAATTAAACGCCTTCCTACCCCGAGAAATCGCTATGCATATACTAATATCATATCAAACGATTACAATAGGTAGGAGGGAGATATCTGCTGTATTATGCCAATGTTTATATGTTGGCAAGACATAAGCAAGGCCTAGGTTAATGTAGTATAATGCCCAGTGAGGATAAAAATCTGACTGGTCTTTAATTTAATCTAGTTAATGAGATGAGAAGAAAATGAGAAGATTATGCTTTGAGACCAATGCTATTATGCAATTAAATACTTGTAATTGCTTAGCCCTATGTAGATGCTAACATCCAAGTCACGGAGGAAGCTCACGAAGGATCGTATCCCTTAGGCACTAAATAAAACCCCAATAATTGAAAAAAATGAAATAAAAATAGTAATTAGATCGTGAACTCAAGATGATTGTAGCGACCGAGTGTGAGTGGTATTAAGATTAAATATGGAAAGCTGTAGCAGCGGCTGTCTACAGTCGCAGTGCCACGCATCCTGATTTTGCCAGCATCATCCAAACGCCAACGCCTTTGCTCATCACATCCGCACCACCTAAATTGGCTCTTCATTTCCCGCATTAATCGTGCCTGTTAATGCGTATAGCCTGGTGTAACATTCAAACACATACATAATTTGAACGTTGCAAACAGTAGGTACGGCGTCGAAACACGACCCGACCCGACCCCTAAAAAACAACTGTCGAGTCACGGTGCTAACGACTCAAGCAAACGCCCTTCCCATGCTCCCCGAGTGTATACACATCTCTCATGCCACTTCAACCGATTCGATCCAGAATGCCTTGTCACGCCTCGGAAGATAAAAAGTAACGAACGTCCCTAGGATAATACAACGAATGTGTGCACCAAAGCGGTGCGCGTGACAAGGCATTTACTGAGCCTTTGCAGATGCCTTTTTGGCTTCCGCCTCTACGAACTCTTGGGCCTTGGCCCTCGATCGTTCGTATTTCAACGTCGTGTCACCGTGCCACATGGTACCTAAAAACCTATCCCAGAAAGTAAAGAATGGCTGGGCAAAGTTTGTCTTGATGCCCCAGCTCTGGTGGTGAATATCGTGGTAAGCGGCGTTGTTCGAAGTGATGTGCTGAAGCGGGTCCCAGGGCAAGGCATATCCGCAGTGGTCGTCGACGGTCTTGATCGAAGACATGACCCAAAAAAATATTCCCTGCCTGGGCGTCATAAGCGCGAGCTTATACGCAAGACCTGCGCCGGCCGTGTCGAGAAGGAACCCCTCGAATGGGTGGTTGTACAAAGCTCCGTAGGCGTAAGGAACGTAGAGTCGGTGGTGCCTCGAGTGGAACGTAGCTAGAAGATTGTTAGTCGATATTGTCTACCAAAAAAGGAAAAGGGGATACGAACTGTAGAGCCACTTATTTTGGTGCATCAATCGGTGAAGGAAGTACTGCCAAGTATCTAAGGCGGTGACGGCGACGAAGAGCTGGAACCCCGGAATGATAGCCCAGTAGATAGCCTTGGCGACTAAGAGCTCCCAAGTGGCGAAAGCGGGTACCAGAGCTCCGTCTGGTCCGGCAAGCTCGGAGGTGAGGAAAGGGTAGTGACCGCCAGCGAGAGCGCCAGCAAGGAACGGATGAGATACAGCCATATTCTTAGAGATTGTAGCAGCATTGATTCCTAGGACACCGAGCACGGTTGGAAGAGCTCTCTGCGCTAGACGGACTCTCGTCGCCCAGACGGCAACATCGTAATCCTCCATACCCGTATATTGCGGCGGTTCAGTCTGGTCCAGGAAAAAGGCCATGAAGCCTTGAATAACCTGTTGGAAGAGAACATCGCGAAGGACCTCGAATCGCGAGGCCTTATTCCGCGCCGCAATCTCGGCGGGAGTGTGCAGGCGGTATTGCGGGAAAAGGTCTAGGGTGTCAATTATGTGGAAGAAGATGGAGACAACCCAGTACGCGATGGTGGGCGCGAGGAGGGACAGGTAGAAGTCGGGCAGCCATGGTATTAAGTCTGGCGCTACGACAAGTTCGTAAGAGGGAAGCGGTGGGAGGTCCGTGTTGGACGTTATATTAGTAGCCATGACGGGGAGGGCCAGGGCGCGGGAAATGGTATTTTGTATAATCGAGTATAATCGAGGGACTTAGCAGAAAAGAAGTGAGATGAATAAAGTTGTACCGTTGTACGATGGTTGAGAGATCACCAATTTACGGATTACTAGTACGTGTGGCGGGACGTGGTTTAAAAAAGGATCGTCGCAAAGAAGTAAGGAGTGTAAGTAGTTAGGAGGTAGTAGGTAAGATTACTTGAAAAGCTGTAGGGAGTTGAATTAATTTAGGGAGTCCCAACTCTGAGGATTATGAATAAGATAAAGTTTTGGCTTTTTGGGCGCGTTGGAGGCGCAAATGTAAATTAGCTCTTTCAGCGGCTTTCAGTGGTCCGTTATCATTCCATTGTCAGTGCATGAGTGCATGTCAGCATGTATATACAGCGGGTCCCCCTTTTTATCAATTTTATCAATCTCGGCTTGCCTAACCGTGCAGGTCCGAGATCACCTGTTTTTCCCCGACTGCCGTTAACCTGCCTTGTACCTATCGTACCTAATGTAAGTCGGGAATGACGCATAAGGCATCTACCTAATTGGACTTTTACGGGGAATCAAATCAGACGAGCTGACGGGTTCGAAGAGAAGCCATTGTCGTATGAATTATGTCTATGTCTATTCGAAGCTTATCTACCTCTCATAAAATCAAGCTACCTGTAGCTCACGCATTCAGGCATTGTGCATTCTGCATGTTGAGCATTAGTGGTAGTGGCAAAGTGGATTCGCTTCAGATCAATACATCATGTAATCCGTACTCGAGGTCATTCCTTATTTGGGTGATAAACATTCGGGTTTTGCCTCTGTACATGTAAATGTACATGTATGGAATATTTCGGGTAATACAAACACCTCGGAAATCCGATCTAGACGATTATGTATTCGAGCATTTGGTCCTGCGGGTCCGTCCGACACACCGAGATGTGATGTGGATGGAAATAAATCTCTCATCAGGAATATATACCTGATAAATGAATATCGTAGGGCTGTATTTATATACTGGCTACATTATGTAATGTCTACCCATTTACCCGATGTACTTGGGTACCTGAGATTCAAAAGGAAAAAGAAATACGGAGCAAAAAATTCTAGATCTAATCGACACGCTAAAATAGGTTTAGCGCGTCCGCCCCTCCATTGAAAACTCCCACTTTCGTCCTGCCCAAAATTTTGAGGGTCTCCGCCAGGAAAATCTGCCCCTCATTACTTGTCGCAAAAGCCGTCTTTTTCCTCCTCTACTTAACAACCTTCCATCGTTCATCCTTCGACGATCACATCTTCTTCTCCCTGTCTATCCTTCATCAGATTCTTCTACACCTACCGCCAACATGCTTATTTTCAGGGTATGTTACAACTTGTCGTGTGTTGTATATTAGAGAGATATTAGAGAGACTCTCCGCGAACATGTACTGACAACCTTGTTTATATAGGACGCCCTCACTGACAGCAAGGATGAGCTCCTCTCCGACTCCTTCAAGCTGAAGGAGGTTGATGGAGTCGCCTACGAAGCTGACTGTGCCATGATTGAAATCGGCGCCGTCGAAGTCGGTATGCTAGCTTTATAAATTTTCTTGGGCTATGCTGGCCCGCGAGTTGGGCTGTCCACTAACGGATCTGAACAGACACTGGCGCCAACGCCTCTGCCGAGGAGGGTGATGAGGGTGTTGATGACTCTGCCCAGAAGGTCAACAACATCATCCACTCCTTCCGTCTCCAGCCTACCAGCTTCGACAAGTCCTCGTATCTTTCGTACCTAAAGGGTAAGATAAGCCCTTCCTTGCTGGGATCCCGATGTCGACTAAACATTATGTATAGGTTACATGAAGAAGCTTGCCAAGCACATCAAGGACAAGGGTGCTTCCGACGAGGAGGTCAAGGATTTCCAGACTAAGGCTCAGGCCTTTGCAAAGAAGATTGTCAGCAACTTCAAGGACTACGAGTTCTACACTGGTGAGAGCATGGATGTTGACGGAATGTGAGTTCTTACCGTGCCCCATAGCTTTGGGCTTTTCCCAAGTAAACGGACTGCGTACTGATGCTCGGATCATAGGGTTGTCCTGCTCAACTACCGTGAGGATGGTGTTACACCCTATGTCACCGTCTGGAAGCACGGTCTGGAAGAGATGAAGGTTTAAGAGCCTACCGAATGATTGTGGCTGAACCTATTAACGAATACCATACACGAATCAACCCAGACGACCTGACGCTTCTTTTCTATGTCTATAAAACCCCCGATTTAGGCATATCATATAGATTCGTTCTTTTACGAATGCTAGCCGGTGCATTGCGCAGCCGAAGCCTAATTTATTGACGAATTGTCAACGTTCTACCCGTGACCGCACGGCTCCCGGAGCTATACTATTTCGTGACCTTGATGTCTGATTCAATCTTCATCTTACTGTACCCCGAGCGCTAGTCAATGATGCAAACTTCCTTAGTAGTAGACGTGGACACCAGGTTGCTTACTTCCGTATTAGTTAAAATTTCGGTCTCGAAGCCATCGGTACAGGGGGTGGAACACTTTCGCTACCGGCCCCGGATAGTTGAGGTTTCTTAGCCGGCGGTGGGGGAGGAGGCTTCTTCTTTCCTAAGACCCCTGAAATCTGCCCCATTGATGATGTCGTTGTTCCTTGCCCATTAGCCTCTACAGCACCATATCGTTGATTTAGCTCATTTGCTGTTTTTAACCCCGATGCGACTTGATCCCCATGCCTCTGATGGAAGTTGTACGCTGTTCCAGCCGCGGCTTTGGCATCTGCAAATGATACGGATGAGGGATCTTTCCTGAAACTCGCTGCTGTCTTTAACGCTGCCTGTTTCTCTGCCCACGTAGTGCCCTGCGCTGGTGCGGTTGTGGACTCTTGTTGAGTATTGCTGGTGCCGAGGCGAGAGAAGCGGCTTTGTAGCTCGTTTAATTGTCCGTTAGATGGCTTTGTTGATAGTCCCCCTGTAGATGGCGCCGTAGTTGGTGATCGAGCAGGAGGTAACGGAGGGGTAGGACTTCCCGCCTTTCCTCCGATTCCTAAGCCCGGGACTGAAATCCCAGCCGCTCCTAATCGATTGATAGCTCCTTGGTTTAGATAATTTGAGGATTGGTTGTGTCCCGTCGAGACGGGGCTTTGTGTTTGGACTGGAGACGCGTTTCCGCTACGCGGTGGGAGCCGAGGGGGCAGTGAGGGTGGTCCGCTCGGTTTAACGTGTGAAGAGGGAGGCAGGATCGGATCTCGTTTATCCGGGCTGCCTCTTCTCACGGGCGGAGGAGGGAGATTTGCTGTTGACAATCCCGTGGTATCGACTCTGTAAGGCCTGGGTTCTACTGTAGGCTCTTCTACCTGCTGGTGGTGGTGCTGTTGCTGGACGCCGTATGTGTGCCCGGAATGTACGGAAGAAACGGGACTTTCAGACCTGGATTCAGTCGCGTTCCCGCTAACTCCGGTACGCTTAGGGGGAGGACCAAAAGAGGATGGATCACGCAACGAGGATATCGGGGTGGTGCTACGATCGGAAGAAGAATGGGAAGACGGTTTATCTCCCCGCCCAACAAGGCCTTTCTGATGGGTATGTTAGCACGTGTTAGGGAGTATATTCAAGGAGATAGATGAGGTCTTACGACTTGATCCTTAAGTGATGTCCCTTCTTTCTCAGGATGCCAACCATTCTTGACAATACCTATACCTTTATCCTTCCAACCCGTACCTTTATCCTTCCAACCCGACATCGACATCTTGGCTTATTATTGTTACATATGTACTTTGTAAGTTTGTCGGTAAATAATTGTAGCAGGTAATTATCATAACCTCGATATTTTTTTTTTAATTACACAATTCGTAATCGTATAAAAGAATTGTAATTGTATGTTGTCAGGTTGTACGATGTACTGATGTAGCTAGGTAGGTAGCTCTAGGTACATAGGTACATGTATTCTAGTAGCTGCTAGAGGGTCCAGAATAGGTATGACGTATGCCCCATATGCTTGCTGAGCCACACGAGCTGAGCGCCTCATCCGAATTTAAAGGGGACCTCCAATTGTCAATCGGATCTCCCCCCTGTATTTCCACCCCACCACCACCAACCAAACCAAATATTGACTTTCATTAACACTTTTAGGACTTTAGTCGCGTCGCGTGTCGTTAATTGGCGAACTTCAATCTTTAGCGCATTCAAATTCAAACGACAGCGACGAAAAAAAAAAGAGGACAATGATACCTAAAATGCGCCGACCATGACGACGTCTACCAATTCCGATGCCGAGCTTTTGACAGAGCACTTCGGATATCCCCCTATTGTCAGTATTTCACCTTGGCGCATGTTTAAATAAATAAATATCTAGTCTACCCTAGGTATCTTACATACTTGATGATGGAAAATGTATATTAACTTGAACAACCCCTACTTCCAGAGTCTCATCGACGATATAATCAACAGCGTAAACGTCCTAGCCGAGCGCGCCCTCAACAGCGTCGAGCAAGGCCTTCTAAACGCTCCCCCCGCAACCATCGGCTTCAAACCCCCCAAGTCGTCCCGCAGCCGCGATGCGCAAAAACAACAACAGCAGCCGCAGCAAGACCCGGCCGAAGCCGCAAAGACGGAAATCGAGTCCGGCACGCATCAACTAGAAACCCTACTGTGCGCCAGCATCGACCGCAACTTCGACAAATTCGAGATCTACGTCCTGCGCAACATCCTCACCGTCCGCCCCCCCGACGTACGCTCCTGGATCCGCCTCTCGCACTACGACGGCCTAGATTTCACCACCACCACCACCACCTCCTCCTCGAACGCAAATCTAAATCTAAACCCGTCGCCCACCCTCGACAGCATAAACCACCTCCGCCGCAAACTGCGCGAGAGCATGCGTCTCAACGCCCTGCTGACCGCCGAGCGCGCGCGCAACGAGAAGCTCCTCGGCGAACTGCACGACCTCGTCGGGATATCCCCCGCGCACGTCAAGAGCGAAAAGACGTCCCCGCAGCAGCCCCCGGCGCCGCAGACTAGTAAAAACAGCCCCTTCGCGTTCCTGCACCGCAAAGGCTCCCTCACCGCCGGCGGCTCCGAAGCCCCCCTCAGCACCACAACCGCCTTCACCCTCTCGCAGATGCAAGCCCTGCGCGCGCTGTCCACTTCCCTGCGCACCATCACCCCGGACCTAGTGCCTTCTACTACTACTGCTTCCTCCGCCGCCGAGGCCATGGATGTCGATGACCACCACGACGGGGACAAAGATAAAGATAAAGAGAAAGAGCGCAAGAGCTGGCGGCGCGAGCGTCTCGAGTACGTCGAGGGTGCTACGAGGCGGTACTTGGAGACTGTCGAGGGGCTGGAGCTGGGGCGGCACGGGGAGGTGCGCGATGGGGAGTGGCAGGGTGCGGGCCGTGGGTTAGCTAGGGATGAGGTTGGGGGGTTAGAAGGGGTGATTACGCTGTTAGGAGGAGGAGAAGAGCAAGAAGAAGAAGAAAGGGAACGGCAGGGAGGGGACTCCTCTGGCACGGCGCGGAGATCGGCGTCTTCGTCGAGGGACGATCGGATGGACATGGACGAGTCATGAACGATGAAAGGAGCCTTGCATGTTGTTGCGTTTTTTGTATACACGCCAACGACTGCTGCTACTGCTACCACCGCTGCTGTTTAGGTATCTACGCTCAAACAAGTGTCCAAGGAAAGGAGTCCGGAGTTCTGAGGTCTTAGGTAGTCACGCAGTCTGATGGGAAGGAATTATTTTGAACTCGTCATTTTATTTATTTAACTATTTATAACATGTGCTACAAGGTGTTCAACAAACAACCAAGTCCACACGCCATTGCCCCGGGATCTATCATGCGTAAGCCATTTGCACGTAATATTTACCCTATGTACACTCTACCTATACAGGCTGCCCGCCAGGTTAAGTCTCATCGCCAATCTAGAAAGAAGCACGAGCAGCAGCAGCATCTCCCCCCTCAAGGAGACCGTTCGAAGAAGCCAGTTGCCAGAACTGATGGCCCCAGAACCGAGCACTCTCTACTTCGTCGGAGGCATGGTGCGACTCTTCAAACAGCCTCTTGGTATTAGCCACCATGTCGCGCGCGTCGTCGACGTGGCCGTCGCGGAGCAGCGAAAGTAGTAGCTCTACCTGTGTAGGTAGGATGAGAGTGACGCCGGCAGCGCTGAGCCTGTAGTAGTAGTCAAGGGCCTTGAAGGGCTGGCCGGCTAGTGCGTAGCCCTTGATGATGCGGTCGTATAAGATATTGTCTTCCACGTTATCGGAGTTAAGCACGCGGCGGCGCTGCAATAGCGAGTCGACAGAGTCTAGGTCTGGGGGTCTGCGCGAGAAGTAATGTTCCACCAGCATCGTATAGATGTGTGGCGAGAGCTCGTGGCCGTGGCCCCATAGGTGAGCTAGCACGGCCTTGACGGCATTGCTGGCCCGGTTGCTATTGCTGGCCTGGTTGGCATGGTCGCTAACCTGGAGGAGGTGATAAATTATCTTGCCGTACGTCTGCAGGTTCGGTTCCAGTCCGACCGCTTTCATGTGACCGAGCACGCTTGTCACCGTCTCTGTTTGTTCGTCGATGTTATCCGGGTCTATCGTCTTAAACGCCCCGTCGAGCACTATTGTAAATGTCGCTTCGTCCGCGGACACGCCGGCATCCTGCATCATAGCAAATATTCGCTGCACATCATCCACCCTTCCATCCCGTACGAAGCGGCGTAACAGAGTATTGTATGTGAAGACATCAGGTTTGATACCTTGCCGACTCGCCCAAACCAGGAGACTTTCGGCAGCGGAGACTTGATTCTGACGTATTAGACCAGCGAGGGCAGCATTGACAGGCTCTATAGTCGGTTTGACAGCTGTAGTATTCTCGTCTTTCGAGCTACTATTCCACAATCCCGCCATCTCCTCCAGGGCTCTTATTCCGCTCTCGGCATCGCCAGATTCAATGAGGCCGGCTATACGAGTGGTCCATAGCCTCGTATCTAGTTTCATCCCAGAACCCGCAATTTTTGCCCACACATTCTTGACGCCGTTGACGTTGCGGGCCTTCTTGCAACCGTCGAGCATGCTATTCCACGTTTTCATCGTCGGTCTAAGCCCGATTTTGCGCAGAGTATTCAACGCGGCGATGGCGTGATCAGGCTGGTTCAAGGCCATTCGAGTAAGAATGAAAGAGTCAAAAAGATCGGGGTACTTTCGAAGCTCAGCAACCTTTTCCAAAGGAATATCTTTTTCAGACCCTACAACCCTTTGCCAGATCCTATCTACCTCCCTAGCGTTCCGAGTTAGCCACGCGCGGTTGAGAGCACTTCCTAAGTAACTCGGATTGATTCCACCGTGATTGGCCGAATATGAGGGTTTATTGGATTCTGCGTGTCCAATAGACGTCGCCATCGATTCAAGTCTATCTTTTAGCTGTGCCTTGATGTCGGGCCACCGTGCCATAACATAATCTTCAATCGCTGGGAAGGTGTTTGAGATTTCCTTCTGCAAGGCTTCGTCTCGGTAATTCACAAATGAGATGAGATAGGCTATTTTGGAGACAAAACGAGTAGCACTTCGTCTGACATCAAGATTGCTTCGTTGGGGATCGAGCAACAAAGCATATGTGGCAATGGCTAAGACGGCCACAGGAGCACCGAGATGTTTAGGGGGATATTGTGGGAATATACTACTCAAAGCCGCAGGAAAGTTTCCCTGACCTGAAAACTTCTTCAGAGAGAATGTATCGAGTCTCGGGAACCAGAACCCATCCGTCAACTCATCATCAGGCGTCACGGATGTGGGTTTAAGTAGAGAGAGAACTTTCCAGGATTCGACAAGATCCGCGAGCATAGCATCGCGGATGACAAGTCCACCTTCGATTGTGGCAGGGTCCTGCTCCTCAGTAGAGGGATCTATCTCTATGATTTTCTGGACTAATTCTCCCACGAGTATGGCCCATCGCTGAGGCTTCATATCGCCAATATCTGTGTAAACTCGGAAAATGTCGGCAACTGTTGGTAGCTCAGGTGAACGTATCGACTCCTTCTTAGCAGCAACGACTTTTTCCATCAGTCTCGACACTACCCTAGTGAAAACCTTAGGTACGGTTACATCTGGTTCTTGAAGTAACGGGTATATCTCTGATTTGAGGTAGGCATATGCATCTGCCTCGGGCTCGTCCTTTTCGACCATGAGCTCCAGCTTGCAAATAGCATGGACGAGAGCCAGGTCCAAATTGGGATTTGTTTGTTGTGATTCAGCTGGTGCATCTTTGTCTGTAGTTTGCTTTTGGACGATTTGTTGGAACAAGGCGTCTACCCGAGCTGAGTCGCCAACTCGGACTTTTCTGAATTTATTCGGAGACCATTGTATGTTGGAAGTGCTCTTGTGGTCATTTTGCACAAATCTCCGAACTTTGTCCAGTCCTGAAGTATCGGTTGTTGCACCGTCTGCAGGGAGAGGCGCATTGGAAATTGGAGTCGTTGAAGCGATCGTCGTTGGGTCATCGCTTCGCGGGGTGGCCGTGGTCGAAAATCGCGATGCGTGGGTTTGCCATTTCCCTGCTCGTGAGCTTGCGCCGCCCGAACTTGCTGCTAAGTGGCGACACAGCAAGCAGGTAGATTTAGAGCCCTTCATAACACGTGGGGGATAACATGTGGAGGGCGAGATAGGTGTTGCGAGATGGCAGAATCTATATAAACAGCCCGGAGTTGTAAGCGACAAATACTTGGTAGTGAAGAAAATGACGGATAACGGTGTCTTATCAATGGAGCAATTGCTGCTCCGGATTGGATCGGAGGTTAATAGGGTCTCAATGCCGACTTAAACCTTGGGCTAGGTATTCCGTATTGTACACCTTATTACCCCACTACCGTTGGTAGCCTTACCAAGTTCAGGTAGCTACCATGCTCACCAGCCAGGGCAAGTTGCAGCTCGCAAGGGTAAGAGCAAGTAACAATGGAATAATGTAATTAACTACTTCTAAAATATACACTAAAAGCCTTTTTAAAAGGCGGCATAATTCTTAAATTTATTAATAAATCTTTTATCTTATTATATTAATATTATATAACTTACTTTTTAAATTATATATAATTTATTTCGTTTTTTAATTTAATTATAATTTATTTATTATATATTATTATTAAAATATTATTAACTTTTAATATATTAATTATTTTATTATATTAAAATTTTATTTTAATTTTACGGTTATATTATTAATATAAAATTTAAAAATCTTTTTAATTATATTTAACTTTTTAATATTTTATTAAAAAATAAACTTTAATTATTAATTAAAATTTATTATTTTAATTATAATTTATTAATTTTACTTATTATTTTTTAAATATTTAATAATAAATAATTTTTATATAATATAATTTATATCATTTATTATATAATTTTTAAAAACGTATAAATTAATAATAAAAATTATAATATTTTAAATATAATTAAACCGTTTTTATTTTTATTAATTAAAAAAAATTTACGTTTTATTTTATAAAATTTTATAATTTTAATTAAAATTTATTATTTTTATTATTTAAATTATAAAAAAAATAAAAATATATTTATTTTTTTTTATTTATATTTAATTTTAATATTTATTTATAAAAAAGCTATATTTTATTATTTTTTATTTTAATTATTAAAAATTTTTTAAAAAACTTTTAAAATTATAAAAAATATTACGTTTTTATATTATTAATTATAAATTTATTAATAATTTAAGATTTTATATTTTTTTCGCATATAATTTTAAACGTATATTATGTTTTTTTACGGGTTAAATTAATGTTTTTAAACGTAATTATATTTTCTTTAATATAATTAAAACTTTTATTAAATATAATAATATATTAAAATTTTTTTATTTATATAAAAATATATTTATATATTTTTATTTTTATAATAATATTTATTTTTATAAAAATTATTATATTTTTTAAAATTTAAATATTATTATTTTTATTTTTAAATTTAATTTAAATAAAAATAATTATTTACATTTAATTTATTATATTTTAAACCCTTTAAAGAAATTTATTAATTTTAATATAAAAATTTATTTATTATATTATAATATATTTATTTTATTTATTTATTATTTTATTAAATTCTTTTTTATACAATTTAATTAATCTTTATTTATTTATTATATTATTATATTTTTTATAAATAATAATAATAAATTTAAATATTTTATCTTTATTTATAATATAAATAAAAATAAAATTATAAATAAAATACATATTTATATATTATTTTTTTAATTAATTATTAAAATAATAAATATATAAATTAAATAAATTATTAATAAAAAATATAATTATAATAATTTTAAATTTATTAAAATTAAAAAGTTTAAAATTATTATTATTAAAAATTTAAATTTAAATAACATTATTAATAATATTAACAAAAATAATAATAATATTTTTAATATTAATAAATTTAATTTTAATAATATTAATATTAACATTAATAATTATTTTTATTTAATTTAAATAAATTAAATAAAACACTTTAATAATAACATTAAATTTAAAAATTATAATTTTAATTTACACTTTTTACATAACCCTTTTTAATAATCTCTTAAATAATTTAAAACCTTTTCGTAAAAAATCTTAATCTTTATTAATAAATAAAAATATTAATAAAAAACTTTATTATTTACATTTACAATTAAAATTTAAACAATTTATTTTTATTAAAAATATTACCTTTTTATAAAATCTTATCTCCATTTTAAAACAATTATTATTTAAATAAAACAATTAATTTAAAAATAAATTTAAAATTAAAATTATTTATAATTATATTTTAAATTTAAAAAAAAATAATATTCTTTTTAATTAATTATTAAAATACAAATTTAAATAACTTTATATTATTATTATATTATAAATTAAAATATATTTAAAATATATTTAACGTATATATTAAAAATTAAAATTTATATTAAATAATTACTTTTTTTATTATAAAAACCATATATTATAAATTAATTTTATCTTTTACATTTAATATATTAAATCTTTATTTTTATTAAACATTTTTAAATTAATTTACTTTATTTAAACTATTTTTTTTTATTTTTATATTTTTATTATACTTTATAAATTTATATAATAAAAAATTATTAATTAAATTATTAATATTTTTTTAATAATATATTTAATAAAAAAAATAAAAAAATATTATTATTTTTATTATTTTTACTATCTTTTATTTTAATTAATTTATTAATATTATTTTAAAAAGTTTATAAAATTTAAAAAATCTTTAAAACTTAAAAAACTTATAAAACTTAAAAAACTTATAAAGTTTAAAAAACTTTTAAGGTTTAAAAAACTTACGTAACAATTTAAGCCTTTACGTTTTATTTTATACATTTAATTTATTTATATAAACTTTTTTTTAAAGTTTAAAATAAATAATAATTAAAAAATATTAATAATTCCTTTTTATATACTTTATTTATTAAAAATTAATTAAATAATTTATATAAAAATAATAATTAAAATAAAAAAATCCTTTTTTTTTATATTAAATTTATATTTAATATAAATAATAAAATGATTTTAAAATTTATTAATAATTTATTTTATATAATAAATATATTAATTATTTTTTAATTTTATTTTATTATTTTTATATATTTATATATAACACTTTATAATAAATTTATTAAACATTAAAAAAATATAAAATAAATAAACTTTTTTTTTAAAATATTTTTAACATAATAAATTAAGTTAAAATTAAAATAAAATTAAAACTTAATAAATTTACCATATTTAAAAAATAATGTAATTATATTTAAATTTAAAATAAATAAAATTTAATTTAATATTTTATAAACTTATTTTAAAAAAATATAATTAATTATTTATATTTAAATTAAAAATAAAAAATTATAATTAAATAATAAATTTTTAAATTTATATATTAATTTTTAATATATATTTAATAAATATTATATTATTTTTTATATAAATAATTTATTTTTAAATATTTTTTATTAAATTTATAAATAAAATATTATAATTTTCTTTTTTTAAATTTTATTTAATATTT